GTATAGGGATTGGACATGTTGGGGGGGGGTACCCCTCGGTCTCATTTCTTGCTGGGTATACCCACGACAATTTCGGGATTAAATGTAACTTTGCACGCCATAGTTCGGTGCCATGTGGCTGTGGGCAAGTTACATTACACACCAGTCAATGCCGACATTGGAATTCTCTGTACCTTGTTCGTTACCCTTTCAACGGTGACCGTCTTTGTAATCTCCACCGTAATCAGTGATGTTTAAGGACATGCAAGCGCCATTACATGCCGTCTTGCAGTCATAGCAAGGAACAATAGTCTAATGCAAATGGCTCTAGGTTTGTGCCCATTCAGGTGAAAACGCGCACTCTGTGCTGTAGGCGCCCGTGAAACCAATATGCGCGGACTGTACCCCACTTTCTCCGCAAGTCACCATATCTGTTTGTCTCAAACTTGAAGATTTAAGAGCATCTGATGAAGTGTCGTTCCGCCAAAACTCGACGTTCCTTATATAAAGGCACCACAACTTGCTTCAAATGTTAATTACACAGAACTAAAACATTATGATACCCACTTTTGAGCGAATCATGTGATGTTTCATGTTTGTCATTACCACTGTCTTTACAGTGATGGATGATAAATGAAAGCATGGCTGAGATACTTACTGTTTAGTCGGTCTTGCTAGGATCATATTGTGGGGTTTGACTGCACCAAATATGCTGGGTCCGTCTTGTACCACCGACTGGCTAGCCATTTGAGACACCGTGTTTGGCAAGGTGCACTTCTTTGCACCTACAGCTCTTACGCGCATCTTAACGCGCCTAAACAGGCGCACATATGTTACTGTCATGGTGGACATAGGCGCGAGAACGACCAAAGCGTACCCAATAATCTGACTAACAAGCGGTGGGATTTGCTGGTAGATCTGCTCCTTGCTCTCACTGCTGTTATTTGTTTCCTTAGCGATGGCCCAGGTGACGATGGAAATTACCGCAGCAGCCAAGGCATAACCCCAAGCAAAGAAGGAAAGATTCCGGGCGCGCCTCCGGCCCACCTTTTCGTTGGTGTTTGGTTTGGCGACAACGGCGTAACGGTTGATGGCGATCACGCAAAGGATGATGTTGGAGGCGCCGCTCAGCAGAATCAAAAAAAAGAAGTGAGCCATGTTGAGCTCCACTGTATGCCACTCGCCATGCACGACGCCTACTAAAACCACAGGCAGATTAATCAAGGTGTTGAGTAGGTCCGCCACCGCCAACATGAAGGCCAAGAAGTTGCCTGGCTTGGCACCTACAGAGTCCCAGGCGTATCGTAAGGTGCCAAGAACCACCACGTTACCTATCACTGATGCTAAACCTAGCACCGTCAGAAAGACACAACAGACTGCGATCGCTGCCACCGACCTTTCCTCTAGTTGTCCCTCCTCGCCTAGTTTAGGATCCACCGTAGGACTTGTCGTGCTGGTTTCGAACGTGGTTGCCATATTTTCTACTTCTCACAAAAGAACAGAGGCTTCAACAGCTTGTCCCTTACTCTTCGCATAAATTCAATATAGGCCTATTCTTGATTTCTGGAGTACTAAATGAATGCTGGATAAGGGTAGGAGAAAATACTAAAAGCAAACATCAACACACTCCCTGAAATCAAATGAAGAGCCTTGTCATATGCATTGGTCCTTCCTCCGTCTCGTTTTGACTTAGCACACGGCATGCTATTGAAATTGCAATATCCTCTGCATGCAACACGCGCTTCCAATCACCTTTCGAATCAACGATCCACTGTCGTGGAAGAAAAGACGATGATTTGTAACGTATGACCGGGGGCGAAGATGTTTGAAATACCCACTCACTTGCTCTTCGACGGTATCAGATGCGATCTGCTGAGTATTTTATTACTGCAGTGTTTGCCAGAGCCAGAAAAGACCACCTGACAACTAGGGACTTGGATGGCGCAAACCGCTCACTGGGCCAGATAGTCAGTTTTGCTCCACGCTAATTGCCGATGATAACTGCACACACCTTGTAAAGGTTGATCATTTGCCAGGTTCCTCTTTGGTGGAAAGAACTATATACCATTTGCCTGCATCTCTTCTGCAAAATCGAGCTATAAGAGCGAGATCCCACATTGTCCACAACGACATCAAGTAATCATCAAGCACACAAGCCAAGTAAAATACTACCGACATGAAGCGAAGAGATGTGCTTATTATGCGCGTTGCCCAAAGCTGTCGGACTCCTTTGAATCAAGTTGACATCACGGCAACGAAAACGCTAATGATAATTATCCATAGTAACGCTCTGCAGGAGAAAGCAAGCTAAAAGTGATTAGTAACATAAAAAAAGGCCCAAATAACATTATTTCCGCGGCCGGCGTTTGAATAATGAACTTGGCGAGCGTTAATTGCGAGTCTGTGGCGACGATCGTTATAGCAATAGCAGCCGAGACCACTAGCTTCTTCCCGCTTGAATTATCACTCCATCATCCATTGTTGGAATTATTCATCAGTTTCATTGCCAACCGAGCCGGTGACCATGGCAAATGGTAGACAGTGTTTTCCTGAAAAAGGATCACCAGTTCCAAATGCATGCACAACTGGCCCGGCCTCCAGGCTATTTGGGCTTCAGCCTCTCGACGGCAGTGCTGGTTGATGCAACCCTGCCGGGAAATCTGGCGCCGAGTTCAAAGCCAAAATTCTGAGCCAGATTTTGGGCTGTTTTTGCAAGGGCGCAAACTCGCCCTGGACACGCTTCTCCTGGACATGTATTGCCTGACCCTGTCACAAGTAAATGAGACAGATGCTCGTCCGGCATTTGTATGTCCCCCTCCCCCTATTCTCTCCCCTTCCCCCGTCTCTCTCTGGGCTTCTCTGCTGGGTCAAATTGATGAGGTTTGACGACAATCGAATATTGACAAGTAGCCCTTCAGCATGCTACTTACCGATGTGATGTGGTCTCCTTTCAATAAATTGCATTTTGTCCGGCAGAGATTATGAAAATCGCTGAGAAAGACACTAGGTGTCGCCGACGGCTATTCTGTGACATACAGAAGATTCTGTAATTTGGCGTAGGGCCTATGACAATGAGAAAATTATTCGGAGCTTAAAAAGTATAAACGATATGGAGCTCAGCGGGGAAGCATAAAGGCCCCTTTACATATTGTTATGCATGTATTTGGGGTGCATTGCGTGCACGATGAATTCATACCTTTCACTTTCACAAAAATCTACTGCATTAACATAGTACATGTATGCGTTTACGTTTGGCTGTCAAAATGGCCACGGGAGCGATTTTGACGGATACACAACGCTTGGCGCAAGTGTTGACGCGCATAATTAGGGAAAGGCGCCTTAAGATGGAACAAAGTGTCGTCGTTTTGAAGTGTGTAGCTTTTCGGCTGCAAAAAAAAATTGCCGACACCACAATTAAAGTGAGAAACTTGAGAGGAACTATGCCACAGATATTCCGAATCAAGGCAATATTGGACGAGCAAATTTTGTCTTCCGGTACTGGTCACAAAAAAGCAAACTTCACGCAAACGAGGGATTTACACGATGCTGTGGCTTAGTCGCTAAATTAAAAAAAAATCATTATACACGTATTAGTGTTCAGGGCGTGGGGCAAGAAACACAGTAGAGGTGCATTGAAAATGGATCAAAGTCAAAGCACAAGTTAAAACATAAACTATTTAAACGCTGAAAAAATTTCAGATTTAACCGCGATTTCAATACACAGCTGAAGTATAGGCCTATCTCTGGATAAGCTGAGGTAATGTGAGGCAGTAGTTGCTTTGCAGATACACACATCCATCACATGTCAATTAATCGAATTGGTCGAATATGCTAATTCGACCAATAATTCGACCAGTGGATAAAGACTTTGTGCAGATTTCTCGTGCTCTTGTTCACATCTTAAGTACTTCCAAAGGATGGTGTTTCACAGTTATTCCGATTTGTTTTCATGCAGTTCTGTATTTACGCACCCTTGGATGAAAATTGGTACGGTATGTTTGGGAGAGTTGGCCCATGACATCGCTGACTGTAGGTGCAACCTATTAATACTTATATATATACGTAGGAAATGTTTTCAAATATATGAGATAGAACGCTCATTATGTAGAGATGTGGTAGATCATATCTTGGGCAACATTAATGATGGCAACGGAAAATCACGTGACCTCGACTCTTAGTGCAACCGTAAGTCAGCGTATGATTTCACAACAGCGCACTGATTCTAACTATGTTGACGTTCATTTTAGGAACTGTCCATAAAGAAGCCTATGTACGCACAAAGGGGGAGGGGCTGGTGTCACTGCGTACACCATGCACACGGGGGGGGGTTAAGCCAGTATGCAAACCGAAAATTTGCCTGCAATGAATTTTCATCATATCAATGCACTCTCTCATACAAATAAATACCAGAATCAGCTTTTATGCGTCGAAAAACCATTCCAACACAGTATCCTCCACTGTCCCCCCACCATTGATCCTCCTGTTCCAGCGCCAATTATTAGTAAACCGCAACATTACTCATGCCAGAAAGACCGGCAGCGTCTTCAAGAAACGTACAGGTCCTTTCCACGTGTGTAAGAGACAAAACGGCACCAGAATTTTTTTTAATTCAACATCTTTTTAAGCTGCCAAGTAAATATTTTCCAGGGCCGTTAATTAAGAAATATCAATATAAAAACCTGTTATTACTTTGTCATGTATTTAAGAATTTGGAAGCGACGTGCGAATAAGAGTACTACCCTGGGAAGTCAAAAGGGGGGATGGGTGGAGCCACTGTGTACGCCATGCATACAATAGGAGGGGGTCTGAAAAGTCGGCATTTCGGGCGCACGTACTTTATAGACGGCCCTTCAGCACGAGATCAAATGCACCTAGTGCCTCTGCAATCCTGCATCAATCGATCAATCTACATATATTTCGCTAAATGTGCAGGCGATTTCACGCTGAGTGTTTAATAAGGTATTCCTGGAAAATGGAATTCGTTTGTGTGTTAATAGAAGTCACATTCTTAGATTGTGCCCCAATCACATTATGCAGCGAAGTAAAAGAACTTTAAGAAATATAGACCGACAATCAAGCACCCCAAAGATGAATAATTCCCCAACCTAGTGCAGAAACCAAGACAAGTTGCATTTTCCTAACACCCCAACAAGATTATTTGGATCGATACTTTGGTCAGATTTTCATTACATTTTATTTGTCTATACTGTCATAAAGGTCGTAATTTGTGTACAGGCCGACGGTAACAAGGACACTAGTCATAACCCTGTGCATTATTTCTACTCTAATTCTGCGCAGAACTTGGGAATTCAAATTACGACAGATGAAAAGGAGAACTCAGAACTGCCGTGGTCACAATAGAAGAAAGATTTTCAGCGAAAAAAATTGCACATTTTGTTGCAACCGGCAACGAATACGCCAAACCGACTCGCCAATCACGTATTACAAATACGTGGTTGGGGATTCGGTTTGACTCTTCAAGGAAAAATAACGAGCAATGATTTATTTAAAGTATGCAAAATGAAGTCAAATGCTTGTTATTGCGGAATTGAAACCAGGTGAAACGTCTTTTTCCAAAATCTGCGCCTACTTAAATTTTATTTTACAAATTAATTAGCACATTTTTGGAAAGTGGTCATATTATTGGGGTTTCCCCTTGAACCCACGAGGCAGGTGAAATGTTCCGCCTCGTTAAATGGAACATTCCATCTTCATCGAATGATGTGATTCCTATCAATGCACCTCGTGAGGATTCATACCTATCTCCTGATAAATCCTTGCATCACTCACGAGTTCAGACACTGAGTTCTACTCTTTGCAGAGCAGTTACCCATTGTGTCGAAATAATTCAAAGATATGAATACGAAGATAAGAATTTATTCCTTAGTGTATGGTGTCTGCGTACATGCTGAACGCGTGCAATAACCCGCTTGGAAAACTTAATACCATCTGTCTTTCTTTTACCACTTGGGGTACACTTCAACTCGGGGGGGATAAGGTTCTACGTTCACTTGCAATGTTCGTGCAAGCATTTTTAGTGTGTAGAAATATCTTCAAGTTGGTACATGTAACTGTAAAGGTATAAGCTCGTGTTTTTTGTTGTTGTTTTTTGCTGGAATTTACTACGATTTGACAATTAGGAATCCCCCGATCCAGTGGCGTAGCTAGGATTTTACTGGTGGGGGCACAAACGGGCACCAGCATCTAAGCTTATGGGGGGCACTAGCTTTCAGTGGTGTGTTTTTTGGGGGGAGGGGGTAAGTTTTGTTAGCCTAATTAGTATCCATTCATCCGTTTTTTTTGGGGGGGGGGGCAACCTGGGGAGCAACGGGAATTTGTGGGGGGGCACGTTCCCCTAAGCACCCCCCTGGCTATGCCACTGCCACTCCTTTAAAAGTTGAGAGGACCTCTTTCCACCTTTACAGTTGACGTTCAAAAATCGTAACAACTGCGCTGCACACCAATTTGCTGTAGCTGCCCAAAAGATACCGGTAGCAATCGGATAGAGGAAAGTCTCACCACAAATCGACTTATTGCACGTGAGTACCAAGTTCATGGGGTATTACGCGTAAATTCATGCTGAGGAAAAAAGTAGCAGTGACGCCTTAAATGTTATTTAGAATGCCACTACACGACCCGAATAAACAGGCTATGGGATGAAAGGCACTAAATCGTTCTAGAAAATGAGACAAGCCAATGACAACTATCAAAATTAATGTGGGGTCTTATCGTGGTTGAGTGATGGGGTTTCTCCATCATTAAATCGTTCATCAATGCAGGCATCAATACGGGCATGTAAGCGCCACCATGGTACGGAAACGGCTCTTGCCCGACTTCAAAATGATATTTGGAAAAATATGGATAAGGGCAAAGTCTCCATTCTGGTGTTTCTTGATTTAAGTGCTGCTTTTGATGCACTTGATCATGACATTTTGCTTCATCGATTAAGGACACATGTTGGAGTCTCACAAAATACCTTTGACTGGTTTTCTTCTTACCTTAGAGACCGTTTACAAAGAGTTCAGATTCCGTCTTTATCGCCTGATGGTCGGAGTAGATCGGATGTCGGAACCATGAGTGACGCCTATACACTTAAGTATGGTGTTCCCCAGGGCTCTGTACTGGGACCACTTTTATTCAATGTGTATATGTTGCCATTAGGGGATGTTATTCGGCATAATGGACTGAGTTGTCATTTTTATGCAGATGACACTCAGTTGTATTTGTCAGCACAGCCAACTGCCAGTAACATACAGCAACAAGTGTCAGTTTTGGAAAAATGCTGTGACGACATCAGATGTTGGATGGCGATTAATTTTTTGAAGCTAAATGATGATAAGACAGATCTGCTTATCCTTGGATCGCATATGTCGTTAAGCAAGGATGTTTTCTGTGGCTATTCCCCGTCTCTGGAGCCAGCTTGAAGTTCATCTTAGAGAGTCTAGGAATGTGGAGAGTTTTAAAACCGGGCTGGAGACGCACCTTTATAAACAAGCATTTTAAGTTTCTTAGTATTGATTTTAATTATGGTACATGTAGGTTGTATTAATTTATTTATATTTTGATATACAGCGCCTAGGAGCAGCTTGATGGATTGGGCGCTTTATAAATGTCAATTATTATTGTTATTATTATCATGATAAGTGCGCCTCCAAGAGTTTACAACGCGTTGGCCAATCACAACGGGCGAAATCTGTCGACTCAAAGCACGTTTGGGAAGGGTAGACACAACGCGCGTTATGTTGGGCAACGCGTTGCAAACTCTTGGAGGCGCACTATTTTAAATTGCCCGTATTGCCTCTGCAGCCCCTTTCTAGTCGTGTTGATGTAGTACTTCTATTCAAATTTTAAGACCCTCAATCAGTTGGCCTTCTATTACGTTTTGTTGAAGGTGTTGTAAAATATACATATATTCGGCCAAGGTTTAGTTTTAAACGTTTACTTGTCACACTGGACTGATACCGGTAACTCTGCTTTGGTGTTGTTACATATTTGATAGCAAATGCAAATTTCATTTTCTCAACTTCAGTTACCCTTTATCCTTCTACATTGCAATGATTGTCATCTAAATGATACTCATTAAGGAGAAAGCACTACATGCAGGAATGTACTGAAAGGTTCTGTTCCATCTTAGGTAAAAATTTTGTCGCAGCCATTGTTTGGAGTCATGTACACAAAGAATAATTTCTCTCAGTTGTTTTCTAGAATGGGATTTATGATTTCGAGAAAATCTGACAAAAAGGTTAAGTAGTTCTGGAAATACTTGAATGGGGGAAAATAAATATCACGTCAACAGTTTGACATAATATCCTGCGCTTTTTGTTCCTTCTAATCATTATCCTCATTTAAGCTGTTTACGGTTACAAAAAAAATCAACAGATTTAGCACTGTCAAACACACCCTTTGAGAACTGGACGAATCCGCACGAAGTGTATTCAACGCACGCTGTTTGTCTTACATGTACGCCTGGCACGCGTTAATAGTCATGCGTGCACATTGCACTTTTAGCCCCTGCCAACAGATGGTCCCTCATCCACACAATTCACGAACTTAAAGCTAGGTCGTTTCGAAATGTTGAATGCATCATTTTCCTCCAGCAAAGACGCCAAGACGAAAAAACGTTTTCTAAACTGACACCAAATAGTTGTCGACCAAGAAAAATACCCGTTATCACAACTATTAAATCTCGACTTGACTAAAATTACCCTCCCCACCACCAATTACCCTGTCATATCTGAGCTCAACAAACCAACATAAAAACAAAATGTTTCAAACATTAAATTTATTTCAATGCATAACTAAAGAATAACTTACAAACAAAAATATATCGTATATGTACAATTCAATGACATTACGAAAATCCGAATTTTGTGACATGTGGACATGGTGACTAATCCTTAAAAATATTCTAAACGTTTGCTTTGTAGCTTCGTAACAAATACCCAAACAGTGAGACACTGGGAAACTGGAAGAACGATTTCCAAATCAATGTAATTAGAAATATCAAGATCATCAACTTGTTCATTTAGTATTACTATGATGCCTACAATTTTCAAGACAAATGGAAAGTGTTCACAAAGTACACTTTTTGGGGGGGGTTGAATAACGTGACATTTTCTGGGCATTAGATCAGAACTCTGTGGATATTGTTCCAGTGTTGAAAATAACAAGATCCTTTGACTCGTGATTAGATGCACAACTTGGTGACATGCAATTTGTAATCAACACACGTTAGACTGTACATATGTATATGCATAACGGCACTGGAATAAATGTGACCCTAAAAACTGACCAAAAACCTCACAAAGCCATTGATATTTTGCTTCTTGCTGACTATCGATCCTTATTAGTCAAAATGCCAACATCATGTGACTGATTAATCACTTACATAAAAGAGACCCTAAAAATGTAGGAGACAAAAGACCAGTGCCTGCAAGGATATAAACTTCCTTATCTGGGTGCCCAGAATGACTCCATCCAAGCAGCAACCAGACTACAACAAGCAGATAAAGTCAAAGTGACAAAGGAAGTCTGCCAAAAATGTGAAAAGCTTTAAGGTGCAGGTGCCAACTCGTGCCCGTGCTAAGGTGTGTATCTAGATAAAAATGGCTCATTCTCATTGACAGGATGCTGTGAATATCCACAGCCACACATTGAGAAAGTTCTTAACTCTTCTAGCCCAGACTGATGTCAGTAGACAGCTCGATCCCTTTAAGAGTGTAAAAGGTGATGTCTCCATTGTCCACGACAGCCACCAGGAGTGTGATAGCACTGGCTTGCTGCAGAAGGTTAGCCAGGGTCAACAAGTCAGGTACAGCATCTGTCACTCTATCAAAGAAAGAGACATTACATGGAGATAGTTGTTTTCACAACACAGAAAAATGGAGAAATTTGCCCTTGGGACAAAGCATTCCTGCTTGTCTTGTATTTGCCTGTGTGAACTTCTGCTTCGATAACTTAACCCTGCCAGCAACTTTTTTAGTGATATTGGCTCTGTGCCAACATGTTTAAAGCAATGCATGCTCTGTGATTTCTATGCCAAAAAAATAAAAAATAATGAATTTGTACTGGTGGAACTCGAACCCCTGACTTTGTTTACTAGGGTGGATATCTCAACCACTTGATCCCTCAGCTTGCCGGGGTCAGTGGCTTCAAATCAACTACAGCAGTTGCTTCCATGGGGTTATTCCATGTCATTTCAACAAATTTAGACTTTATTTTATGAATGAAGTCCATTTCAAGAGCTTTAAAATGATGCAAATTTTATCTCTGTAGGTGCTTTACATCTGGAGATACTGCTGTCCAACCAAAGCAGGTCAAGCTAATTAGTCACATGCTCGTTAACCCCTATCTCAAAAACCAACTTGCTGATTGGCACATAATTTCAGTTCTGGGGGTTTCTCAAAGAATCCAATCAGCACACCAATTTTCATTTCAATCTGTGACGGTCCGGTCCAAAAGCGCGCTGAATCGACATGGAATGACCCCACAGTCAATAAATGCTAGTGGAAGTTTCTTCCGAAGTGGATATGATGCGAAATTCTAACCCATACTAGTTTGATTATCAACTGCCATGAGTTATGGATCAGCATGAGTGGAGATGGATGAACTAAATGGCAAGTTGTTCAGCAGAAAAATCATCAAAGAAAACGACTGTTTCAGAGTGTTGCTTTGGTGGTTTTGGAGGGCAATAGACCATATTCGCGGCATGCCCAATTTCACCCGTATTCCTGAACGTACAGTATAAATTTGAAACCCTGAATGGGATGGTACCAGATGCTTTGGGGGGTCAGAATGAAATCATAGAATACAGTCTGGTGCTTTGAATGTAACATTTTCAAATAAATACACTACATTGGGGAATATGACTGAAATTGGGTCCCCACGAATAGGACCTATTCTAAAACCTAAGGACACACAAGATATTCTTGCTTATTACTGTTCTCATGTCATTTTGCCTCCCGGAAAGATTTTATCAGGATCAGAATGTCATGTTTCAGAACATGTACATAATACTGTCATTCCAGCTAGTACACACTTTTTGGTGGCCACTGTTTGCTTTTTTTCTAGTTGTTTTCCAAAATCTAAAACTCCCAAGCACCAGCCACATGATAAAACAAAGGAAATTTGACATCTGAACCACAATATCTGATCAACACAAGCTGGTGAAGGCTATGTGCCCCTAGCAATAAGGTGGTTCTTTAACCTTTTCATTTGCATGTTTACTTAGCCATTCAGTGCAGAGTGAATGATTCTAAGAGTCCTTTGTATACCTTGCAACAACAACGTGGAATTTGGGTCGACCAGGCTGTGTTTTCTTGTAGGTTGGACTCGGGAGAAAAACGTCAAACGCGAGTTTAATGGTAGCCCCGTGCGCCGGAGACAATCTAGGGAATGGAATATTAAGAAGACCTCAGTGGTTAATTTCTGAAACAACTTCTCTTTGAGAAGACAATTGGTTCAGAAATAAGAATGAAATATAATCAAAGTATGCCTTGGTTATCAGAGAGACACAGATACAATGCATCCAATGGAAGAAGAGTGCTTGGTCCTTTTGTGAGGCCATGCAAGGGCTTCTGTAGTACCACACACCACATGCAGACACTTGACTCCAAATGTACTGAGGGTATGCACCACACATGGCTGATTTTCATCAGAATGTGCACTAAACCTGTACTCTCATAGCATAGGTGCTGGGCACATGGTGGCAGTTGTATTCAAGTTTGTTTCACACTGTATGTCTGTTTGTCATGGCAATGGGGTATTTGGGAATATGGTCCACGGCCATAGTTCCGTTTGCATAAGATTTTTTGGTGCACCTTTGACAACACACAGCTGTCACCAGGAGAATCTCATGACTGCGATATGGGCATTTGCAAAGCAACAATGCCAGGATAGCGGTGGAATTGCACTGTGTAAATTAAAACTGGAAATGCAGCTGCCGCATTGTAATGACCCGTGTTGTTGTTTTTTTTGAGCCAAACTGTCCTGCATCTATCAAAATCTAACACCTGATTTTGATTGATTTTAATGGATGAGACTGCAGACAAGCCAGCTTCTAGTACTCCATTTGATGATTAGAGAGTCAATGTTGTACGAAGAACAGACCAGTGGCTTACTGCAAGAGGCAGTGAGCACTTAACCACTTCCTGCCGGGGACTCCAGGATCGGAGACGTATGGTTCATATGGGTGGCCGGGGTCTCTGAACTCGGACAAAGGAAACAGGGCCCTGTAACAAAGACCGTGCTCCCAACAAAAGACCAGGCTGCTGGGCATTACCGGCATTTTTCACTCTCAAAAGTGGGTATAATCCAGCCTTGTTTTGAAACCGTATACCAGGGTTTGGGGCATTGAGAGCGAGCAGATTACCACTGGGGACAAAAGCTCTCCACCACCGCAGCGATGAGCCACACAGCACCGCTGCACGCTTCTCTGGCCCCTACTGAAAAGAGGTCAGCAGTGCACTAAGCCAGGTTCGCGAACAAAAGACAGTTATACAACACCGCACAATCTGGGCTCTGTTTACAAGGCTGCTGGCCTGGCTGAAATACTCAGGCGTCAATGAAAGTCACCTGTCAACTTAGAGTAGTGCCTAAAGATTACTTGGTGCGGCTATAAATGACCGTTAAATGAAATGATGAATTTTTGAAGGGTTTTGAAAACGGAAAAAATGATAGTCATGCCAGCCCAGCATCATCAACATTGAAAAATGCCCCGGCACGAAACGATTAAGGGTCCAATGGGTAAAGGGGGACTACTGCCATGACCCAAAAGGGAAGAATCTTACACCTACCTGACATGTTCAGATGTTACATTAGCACTGTTAACAACCTGCAGCCTGTTCAGTAGATTTCCTAGATAAAATCCACAAAGAAAATAGTCATTTTCAAGAATTGTTTTAGAGCCCTGTATTACGTAAACTATTTAACTCACAACCCAAATGCCCACTGTGACTGGTACAGGCCTATTGTAAAGTGCTCTTATTGGAGAGGCAAGGGTGGGCAAATGGGATTGGCTGCCAAGCCAATGTTCAATCTACAATCTATGGCCAAACTCGATCAAGGACAATATTTAACAATAGTTCCACTAACTCTGCTTGAATGCACGCTCGTCGACGAGGCTTGGACTAGTCTAGTCACCTATTCACGACCAGTCTATCGAGGTTGGTCGCATTGTTGGTTGCCATAAACCGTTTGTAATAGCACAGTGCAGAGAGGACCAGTTATAAGAAAAATGCAGGAAAAACACTACATGTATGTCACTAGTGTACGACCATTTTCACTTTTATATTTGCTATTCTGCCCTTCCTGTGGCCACCTTTTCTCCCCTTCGGAGTAATGACCTGACAACAGTTGACTAGGATTATTCACACTTCAACTTCACTGCACATGCACTAGGTACAAACCAACCACTGGTTAACTAGTGGTCCTTGATCAAACCTGCCCATTGTATTGTCATGATCTCTTCATTTGCATTTACCACATAAGATGCTGAGAACACTGCACAGACTTCACCAGCTCTTCTTGTTGAGATGAGAGTGCATGTACTGTATTTCAATTGTCAATACAAACTGTACAATCTAGGACCCTTATGTCATCTCAAGACATACTGTACATGTAGAAATTGTATCTGAATGGAAAGACAGATGAAGGTGATTCACTTGAAAGCGCACATCCCAACTTTCCTAATACTGCATACATCTTGTATTTTACATGAGCTGTGTTCAGAGACAATTAAGCTGGAGCTACATGTAGGTTCCCTCAATAAAAACTACAAAGAGCATGTGAAATGAAATTAGGCCCTTATGTGTGCACTGCTGTTAATTACCAGTGGAGGTAGCATCGCAGGGTTGAACCAATGGTTTGACATCACCCTGCCAGAGATGAGCGGTGGGACACTCCAGAAGATCTTGGCTGTCCTCTTCTATGCCAAGGGCCAACAGTTTCTTGTACTCTCCCCAGTTGGTTGGAGGTTTTCTCTTCATGAAGCTGGCCTTGTCTTCCAGATTGGATGCTGTCTTGCCACTGTTTGCCATCATCTTGCCCGAAGTGGCCATCATGTTGGCTGAGGTTTTCAAGAGCTCCTGGGAGACTTTCATGAGTTGCTCGGCGTGATCATTGCCCATTTCAGAGTTTGGGTCCTTGGAAGCAGGGGCCACTTTCACTTTTTTGTCCTTGGACTGAACTGATGAGATCTCTGATGACTGCCCATTGACTAGGTTGGGTAGGTTGATGGTCTGAAAGTTCCAGCTGGAGTAACGGCAGGGCATGGAGTCACTGTCTGAGCGGTCATTGAAGGTTGGCAAGAAGGTGTCCAAGACGTCATCAATGTTGACAGATGGGGTGCCAGATTGGTGGGATGTGCCCAGGTCAGAACTCTCCCAGGGAGTGTTGGATGGTCGCAGCAGCTTGTCAAAGTCCTCCTTCCTGAATTGGAAGTTGAGGAAGTACTCTCTCTGGGGGTTACACTTGGCTGGGGAGTCCTCAGATGAAGGTGGCCTGTTTAGGGCCTCGTTGCTCCTCTCACTGCTGTCCCTACCGCTGTCTGAGTAGATGATCAGCTCCCTGTCCAGCTCCAGCTTGCGCCGCTTCCTGGAGTGCTCCAGGTCTTCGTTCCTCATGTTCTTCTCCTCAGACTCAGTGTCACTGGTGCTGCTTGGCGGGCTGCGCTTGGGGGGGTTTTCAGCCGAGCATGCCGAGGCATCATTGTCGCCACCATCCTGGAGGAACATCTTGTGGTATTTGAGCAGGTTGACAGAGGCCCCAAAGTTCTCCTGCTGGATGGGCCGCACCATGACTGGGCTGTCCGAGTAGACGGAGCTGTCCTCAGACGGTAGGTTGTTGACAATGCTGCTGGTCTCTGAGCCCGGGAGTGGTGGGAATGCTCCGCTGTTTGTGGTGTCCCCCGTAACGGCTTGGTCGTTGGATGCCCGACTGGAGACACCTGCAAAGCTGCTGCTGCTCATGTCATTACTCGTCTGTTGGCCTTCCGGGATGGACGTATGGGTGGAAGTATCACCATATCGATCCATCCTTTCCTCCTCAATATCTGTCTTGGTATTGTCACCCATCTGTTGGAACCAACCCTGGACCTTCCGATAGACCTTCTTTTGGTTATGGCGATACTGATGAAGACGAATGCGGTACTCGTAGTCCGAAATATCATTCCTAGAAGGAGGAAAGAAACAGACAAGCAGTTCTTAACATCCTGGGACAAGAATTCTGTAACAGATGTAGGAAAAGGTGACCCCTTCACAACCTTTGAATTAGAGCTCCTACCATTTGCAACTTCTAAAGCCCTAAGTTTAAATCTTACCAGTGCAGACTGAGAGCTGAATTTCTATCATAATCACGTCTAAATCACTGAAACTCTGCCTCTTTTATTCTTTGTAGATGAGAGGTTTAAAAGTCAAAAGAAGATGTAATAAATTCATTTAGTTGGATATAATCCTTAATGCCAAATCAACCACGGGATCAATGTGAAAAATTTTAATGTTTCATCATTTGTCCAATGCACTGGAGGCAAACTGAAATTGGCAAAAAAGAGAGAGAATTTTTAGTAAGACAACCAAACAAAAGCCATGCATTAAAATTCGATTAATTTCTTGGGCTGAGAATTGCTTCAGCATATGCACTATGGCATTTGCTTCATTAGCCCAATCTGCCTGTGGAAGAAATTCAGTGAAGGTTGTCTCATTTGACCCAAATAAAGTAGCTGGAAATAAGTGAATAAATAGGAATAAAACCAATCAATATCTGTCGAACATTTTGAAACTCTTACTCTTTATGTCTTGTGATGATGTACCCCAGTCTCATGAGATGGCTGTAAACCTGCAAGAGAAAAAATGACTCGTATTTCAAAACTCATGACGTTAACTGCCTGCCACCTTCTCCCAATTTCCACTTTAAGTGACTAACTTCAATATTTGCCACTTAAACATTAGCACTTTAAAGTATACTAAATGATTAAATTTCCTATATACATGTAGTTTGCTTCACTTTAATTTATGCCTTCAAACTGTGTTACTGAAGCAGCAATGCTGTGCACATGCTGAAAAGATGAGGTTGGCTACTCTAGCCTCGTTAAAGATTTGATGCACAGGTACATGTACATCACTGAATGGCGAGAAGGATGGAGGGCTAACAAGGGACAGGCACTTTAGGGCATCACTGCCACATTGCCCTCAAGCTCAGTGTCCAAATGTAAACATAAACACTCATTCAATCAAAAACGGACCATGTCAAATGACCTACATGTAGTTTTCAAGACTGAAGTCCTTGCAAAGCTCTCATGAATAGGCCCAGACAGCACCATCTACAGTCCATGCAAGGAGCACACTGCTTCAGTCTTGGTTTTGCCTTTTCTTTCATTACCTGGTAATGGTCCAGTGAGAACTGCTCAGGTATCATCAGCTTGTATGCTTCCTGCATCGTCAATCCAACTCCTCGGTGTCTCAACTCCATGCAATTCTACCAACCAAACACACAAGGCTTGTAAATCAAAAGCTGATGTACACTACTTTCTAAGAAGCAATCCTTCAGCTTCAACATCTTTGTGGGAATCCATTCACCACAATTAGAAGACATCCCTGCAGTGGGACGCTACAGACTGCTTACAATCTTCGATTTGTGGTGGGCATTCATTTGGGCAATTTAATTGGCCATTTTCTACAATGTAAAATGTATTTTCAACGACACTTTCAGTAATCTTAGGAAATACACAAAACAAAGATATTGGACCTTAGGATACTTAAAAACTTAGCACTAAACAAATCTTTCATTCCCTAAACATTTATTCACGACTATCGGTTTTTTTCAATGCTGCTTCAGGTTTTTGAATCATAAGTGATTTGTGTCTTAGACATCACTAATGATGGCTACATTAGGAAAAACAGCTACAATATTGTCAATACATTTCTTTCAGAACAATTTGGCTCACAGTAACTCCCTGTTTTTCAAAGGACTCTTCCTGAATCCTGCACAATCTCCCAATGCACAAACAACCCAGTAACACATTTTTTCTAGACTAAACTTTCTGAAAGGGGTATAAAAGCCCACTTATTTTCTAGAGGAGTGGCAGAGCATATCTTCCCCCTCTTACAATATTTTCTAAGATCTTGTGACAGGTTGTGAACCATCTGGGAGAACAAGACTTACAGTAAGAGTGGAGGATTTATGGAACACCTGTAGTCACACACTATCCATCTATTCCCCCCTTCATTTTCAATAATATAGAGAATGCAAATGAAAAAGGCAACAAAAGGGTCAATTTCTTGGTTAGGTATCTCACTTTTGAGGTTCTGAAAACCACTGATGGCAACTGACCCCCTTCCTCAAAGCATACTTTTTGAGACCATGAAAGACACCCAAGGAAAAATTTGAGAGTGGCAACTCTTGGACACATACCATTTCAAGAAGGAAAAGCCCTTCCTCAGCATAAAGGTACTTGCGACCACCAGAGTGGTACCCCATGGTCTGCCAAAACTTTCCCTGTAACCAAACACTGGCACAGTTGGTATTGCACAATGCAGAGGAGCATTTTCCTGGAAATGCACTAGGAAATGCAAACAATCATTAGCCCAGTTTTTTCAGAGACAAAGAGACAAATACCTAAATGTGAATGAATCCAGCAAAATGAGTAATCTTGGCTTTTTTCCGACCTTTTTTAGCTTGTGAAAGGGCAAAATGAGCTTAAAATCTACACTGTGTGATTGAAAATGGTCAGGATTCCTAGTGATTTCAAGTGCGCAAAATTCATTGGAAAAAAATTTAACTGAAGTGGCCCAGGCGACTTGAGACTCATCTCGTTAGACTGTGTCACAAGTTTGTTCTGAAGGGAATCCAACCAATATCCTCTAATATGTCTAAATGAAATAACCTGAATATCATGTCTTGGATACAGCAATTTTGTTGAATTCAAAAAATGGCAACATCATTTTGTTCATCAGTCAAATACAATCTTGCAAACCAACCACACTAAGGTTTCTGTGGTGCTTGATCTACCTGAACCAGCCATCTTGAGTAGTGGGGCTAAGCAACAACTCTAGACAATTATTGTAATTTACTGACCTTCTCAACTTTGACCTCCACCAGCTCCTTACAGGGGCTCCATTCTCCTATGGCCAGATTGCTTCTGGAATATCAAATAAACTCTGCTATTTAAAAAAAAACAAATGTCTGGAACTTGTTTCACAAGTTGAGTATAAAATCATCAAAGAACTTGAATGATTGGAAGTCTCCTTTCCAGACACATATTTCTAAACTAATGTCTACCAAATTGTCAGGTTTCTCAATTTTCCATGACTACAACACTAGCAGTGTTGTAAACTGTAAACCAAGTAGATAACCCTTTCTTTTTTTTTCTTTTTCAAATGTATTTAATGCTATGGTTAGTTTTTGATAACAGCCCCTTAGACTGTGGAAGAAAGTTGCATCTTTAATGGTATTAAGAAATCAGTCATGTCAAAAAACTGATAGTATTCATCTACGTGGGTATGATGCTTGTCGAAACATGATGTAAATAAAACTACAGTGGGAGGAAAAAAAAGGATAGATTGCAAAAAGAAATGAGAAGACAATGGAAGAGGGAAAGAGGAAAATCAGTTAAGCACAGTGATGCCAGTAAGACGTGAACAGGAAGTAGCAGTTTAGTCCTCCTAAGCATGACATCACAACATGTAAACACTCAGAAAACTGGTAAAAGTAAAGCTCTCCCAGTTTTGTTTAATTTCAGTTTTTTAGATTTCTTCTTCTGGATAGCTTACATTGGGCGTGCTAAACCAAGGTGTTATCGAGTCCATCACAAGTCCAGTCACAAATCCTTTACAAAATCAATTACAATTAACAGCGTGAACAATATCAACATCATAGAACGGCTTTTTTCACACTTTTTTGAACAGCTTGTGGTTTGGCTTAAGACTGAATGACTTGTGATGGATTCACAGGGACGTGTGATAAACTCGACCACAATACTGGAAACTTGGGTATGCTAGAAGTTTGCACTGACCCATGGTTGAGCAGCAAATGTAACAGGCACACTGTGCTTAAGTTAAAGGTTTAAGTCAACATTTTAGGGACAATGCTAAAGAAGCAGTTCACTTTCTTACCCTTTTGAAATATCTTTGAAAGTCAGCCAATTTCTTACAGTTACAGTAACGAACCAAAACAGTGAAACAAGAAACTGTTTAAGCCTTCCCCTCGTCTGCAACTCAACTTACAATTTCACAACCCTTCTTTCTTCCAGCAGAGCATTCTGTCGCTCGTACAAGTTCTGAAGCTTCTGTTCCTGCTGTAGGGAACCATCTGGACATTTTTCCTTTGGACCCCTGCGAGGAATGGAGGAGTCCACTCGTCGGTAATTCATTAGTTCCTCAGTTCTGTGAGGAGAAAAAGTTGTTATGATTCAGGAACCTTGTACAATGAGTGAGACAGTCCCAGATAATCCACAGGTTTAAATTGATTGATTAAATAAAAATTAATTCTTGTGTTATTGGACGTGACAGGACAATAGGCTAAAATATATGTCACATTATGGGTTCGTCAACTGTGCGGTGCAACGTAGTATCATTGATGATTCATGCTTAATGTGCAATCAAAAACTAGGAAACAATATGCATTCAGTTTTTGGCCAGTTGTAATAAAACGGAAACTTTGCAAGTCATTTTGATTAACATACATTAAATGTACAAGATTATATGACTATTGAGTATGAAAAAAAGGATCTGGTATCATTTGTAGTGAGTGAGTGACATATCGCTTTGTCCATGTAACTACACCGTATTTTTCAATTTTTTTTCCGCTACTATGATTTTTGACAAACCATTCAAAATATCAAGTGCGAATCAGAAATCTGGCCAAAATTTGTTTTCTAGAAACTTTCCCAGAACAAGTTTTATTCAACAAGAAACTTACATTTCAAGATTTAAGCAGAACCTGTCTGAGTATGTAAAACTGAAGAACAACGCAGAGGAGGTACATGTGGGTTTTTATTTCAAGCAATGTGGAACTAGGAAAAATCCAAACTAGGAAAACAACTGGAATACATATACGGGGCCAGGTCAGCGCAGGTGCAAAATTGATTGATTGCGCAAAGATTAACTTACCACAGCAACCATTTTTATAATTTCTCAGAAATTAGGCTTGTCTATTTACTGTGTGAAATTCCCTTCCATTATTAAGGCATACATGTAGTATTACATATCATCGTCTCAGCAGACGACTGGGCTGAGCGGACAAAGTGTCTCAAATTGTCTCTCCTTTTTATGCACGGACGGTCAAGTTGTCTCAAAGGTCAAGTTGTCCGAAGTTGAGTTGGCAAGTGTTCAAATTGTCCGGACCCCGGGAGGAATTTAAAAAACTCTAAATTCTGGGGTTTTTTTTGGGGGGGGCCTTCAATTTATTCTTATTGTTCTGGGAAAACGTTATTGGATTTTTTCATTTAGTGGGGGAATAATAGCTTTGTTTAGTAACTTTTCAGGGGGTGTACTTAATAAAACTTGTTGTCTTGATTTCTTTTGGAAGTGTTTCTGGTCTCGTTTTAAAATTTTTCTTGGGGGGTGATTGCCTTCCTCATTAAAATTCTTTTTTGGGGACAAGTTACAACTGACATTGACAAGTCTCACATGAATGTCACCCCACAGGCATGTAAGGAAGGCAGTGTAGTGAAAACGGCCAATTAGGAGACGAACACATGACTAAGAAATCAAATCACTGTTCAAGTTAAATACAATAATAATATGCTCTGAGCAAGCTCTGATTTCTGTGAAGGTACGATTGTTTCGTACGCGAAGGTTGTCTTTACAGGAGGTACGAGTTGTCCAAGGTGCAACTTGGCAAAGGTACGAGTTGGTACAGTTATGCTGAGTTGATGGTACCAATTGTCCATGGTATGAGTTGTCCAAGGTACAAGTTGACCTGTTCTCAGCTATTTTTATAGGGTCTTTACACTAGGGGAAGATTTGCTTCAGAAAGTGGAAACGGAGGTTTTCTCTGGTACAATCACCTGATGATTGCATGGCACTTTTCAAATGCCATAGCGTACGGAACCATTATAAAGATGGACCCAGTAAGGCCTTTGGAGTAGTGCCTTAATGTTCAGGAAGTTGGCTAGGCCTAAACCCAGAACTGTGGGTTCTGACGTCCCACCCACTCCCACAGTGAAGTGAGCTCCTCATGGGAGCAGGGCAGACGTCGGGCCTCACACTCACAGTTCTGAGGGTAGGTTGGTTAAGCCTACCTATTATTATGGGATTTTAGGGGAGATTTTATTCCTCCATGATTTGATCAAGAAAGCTCAGAGGTTTCTCTAATACCATTGCCGGTCACTTTTCAAAATGCCGTTGCGTACATGTATGGAAGCATCAAACATCAGGAATCAGTAAAGCCTAACATGCCTTAGCCCCACTAGTGTGGCACGGACTCTCACTCCCGATCCATCGGGAGTGATAGTCCATGCCATACTAGCTACTAGTGGGGCTAAACATGCCTAAGGAGTAGCATGAGTAGTGCCTTTACCTGTCACTATACTATGATTGTAGGTCAACTCGCCCCCTGGCCGACTCGCCCCTTACCAGCTCGCCCCTTACCAACTCGCCCCCTGACCGACTCGCCCCCTAGCCGACTCGCCCCTTACCAACTTGCCCCCTAGCCAACTCGCCCCCTTACCGACTCGCCCCCTGACTGACTTGCCTNCGTGCCCCCTAGCCAACTCGCCCCCTTACCGACTCGCCCCCTGACTGACTTGCCTCCTGACCGACTCGCCCCCTAAGTCTGCCAAGCACGTTTGGCCGGCCCATTCACCATTTTAAAAAAAATTACAATCTTACAATCAGTCAGAGATGGAATCGGTGATTGCTGCCCTTAAAAATAGGTTCTAGGTTTGCAGCTGGCACTCAAAGTTGAGCTTGTTTAAAGCTTGGTGGATATTCCCTTTGTGTGAAATTGGGGGTAACAATTTTTTTTTAATATTGGTAAAACTAATTCAGTATTATCGTGTGTATGGGCCATGGCGCAGCGTTTCCTGTGTATTGTCTATGGGATTTCGTGCTCCACAACACCAACACCCTACCATATTAATTAACTTTGCAAACTATTTCAGATAAAAAAATGGTACATATTGGGCATAATGCCCGGCGACGCAAACCTACGGAAGTGTTAAGGAGACATGATTTATGACAAAGGGTGTCGTGTAACGGTCGCTACACACTTTCAGGTTCCGATAACTTCAAAGGATGCATTTATTAGTTCACAATTAACACTAAATACTGATTTACTCGACGAGTACAGTCATCAAGGATCACATTGTTGATCGGCCATATTGAATTATATCCCAGCATACACTGTTGGTGTCATGACGTCAGGGAAAAAACAGTCATGACGTAGGAAGTGTTTGAATAAATAAGTGATTAGTGGTGATGTCCAAATATCCATCACTGTCCGTGAGTCGTTCGTGTCGCGTCGTTTGTTAGAACCATTGTTTTTTTGGTTTTTTTTTAATAAATTGGGCCAGCCATATTTGCTTGACATTCCGAGGGGGCGAGTCGCCCAGGGGGCGAGTAGGTCAGGGGGCGAGTCAGTCAGGGGGCGAGTCGGCCAGGAGGTGAGTTGGTAAGAGGCGAGTCGGTTAGGGGGCGAGTTTACGAGGGGGCGAGTTGGAAAGGGGCGCGGCGAGTCGGTAAGGGGCGAGTCGGTCAAGGGGCGAGTTGACCTGACACCTATACTATGGTCATCATGACCAAATGTTTAAACAGCTGTTGTACAGTCCTAGTTTCCCGAGCTGATTCGTTCCCAGGAAGAGGTAAATGATGAGTTACCCAGCCTTTTTTTATAGTTCCATGACTTACCTGAGCATTTCGGTCGCTACAAAAAATAAAACATAAAGAAGAACTCGTTGTGCCGAAGGTTGCCTGTGTCACTGGTGCAGGACTGTCACTGTGCCACAGATGAGTACTGTCAGTCACTCAGAGTTAAGCGACAGTCTGACAGTATCTTCGTTGTTCGCTCACCAAATCAACCAGTCAACTACCAACGACAACCATGTTTAACGACAAAGTACAAGCATGCACAAGGTAAACAAATGGCGCAGTTTTACACTCCACCAATAAAATGTCCAAAAGAACAACAATTGACGCTTGTAAGTTCGCGAGCGACGCAGACCTAAGCTACGTCAGTTACAAAACATCGCACGGGGTACCGCCAGTGTTATTCACGTGCATGCACACGTGAAGGGCACGGCGAAGCGAGCTGAAGGCATACACAGCCGCTTGATGTTAGTCTTGGCCCGAGACGTCAATGATCGATAAGAGATCACCGCTAGTTAGCACTTGTGCGCGATTTTTTTGGAAATTGGGAGCCCTGTTATGAAAGCCCATTAGGGCCATGGCAAGTATGTGTTCATAATTCGTTAATTTACTGACTATTTACTGGTTCATACGAATTATTTATTTCGTTATTACGGATTATTAATTCGTTATTACGGATTATTTATTTTATCTGGTGTGCTTTCAGGGAATGTTTTCAACGTGATATTTACTCAATTGACAGGTTTGGAAACAAAGACCAATCAGTCACACATGTGGAAATGTGTTGGAGGTGCCCTAAACATACGAACGTTCTGTTGATTTGCGACGTGAATTTAACGAAATCTTACAAAGTGGGGTCTGGGAGATGGACGCTATATATAGATTATCAAAGTATCATGTAGGACATCGCCAAAGGAAAAGAATGTACACTACTTGTTGCAATTTTTGTGTTCCAAAATCTTTAATTAGTGGTTTATTTTTGCAAAAATACATTTATAGATTATTGCTAAAATAGAGTGGCTGTTGATAAAAGCAATACTATCTTCACCACTGTTTATCGAGTTTTTACATACCTTTAATCGTCAGTTTGGTCCTCAGCTTTTAACCCCAAAAGGTATCGAAGACTGTATGTTTATTGTACCATTGAAAGATACATGTATTTTTTCTTTTGTTGCATCCAAAAATAATTGATGATTTGAGTTGTAGAAGTATCCTATAAGGAGAAGTTTTACTGTAAATGGTTTCTCAAAATAAAATGAGGGTATGTTTCAAAGATTCCAAATCAGTGAAACATAGATTACAGTTAGTTTTGAGAACATAAATTTCTTTTACAAACCTATGTTATAAATTGTCAAAAATACAGGCATTGACCAGCTCAACCATACATCTTCATTACGACTATTTTCCTCAAAGCCAGCAGCAAGTTTTCTGCAATTTACCTGTTGCATCATGCAAGTGCTCTGTTTAATTGAGCTACTTCAATGTATACAGAGGTCACCTAATATCTTTGCTGAAACTATTAATTCATTGAGAAAATTATCTTACTCACATACTTTATACTCATCATAAAATTGCCGAAAACGGTTATGATGACGATTACTTTTACTATTCAAACGGTATTTGAGGGAAAGAGGAAAGTATGTAGAAATTTACTTATAATACTTTTGGTGATCATCAAAATGCGCCCGGTGTTTAAAGTCTTTCCGAAAAGACACCGATTTTATTTTTACTGAAAGGTAGAATACTAATGTGGCTGTTGCATCTTACTCGTAATCAGCACTTTGCTTAGAAGAATTTGGTGGGCATAATTACTTCCGAATCTGTCATCCAACAAACCTGTCAGTAAAACACACACAATAGGTTTAATTAAATTTTAATTTTCAATGACATATCACATTGAAAATGTTGGTTCTTTGCGAGGGACCTTCAACCGACCTTGACACATGAACAGTATGTGTGGCAACCAGGTTGCATAATTTTATTAACATCTCGTATACGTTTCACAATAACCATTTTAAAAAAGTTCTTAAAGAATTTTTCAAGACTTTTATATACTAATCCGTAAATTTGGGGCATATATTTGTTCAAATCTTGTCCATTTTCCATCACAAACAGTATGCAGTAAATTAGAGTTTATAATCTTCTATATACTAATGACTCACCGCATTAAGGGTTGAAGGGAAAATTGCCCAAACCTTTCATTATTACAGAATCCCCAAATGCTTTGTTCATAATTTTCCAGTTTTACGCCATGTTTCAAAATATTGATTTTTACAGAACTTTTGAAAGAATAAAGAGAATTTACTTGACATCTCACTTCCTTTTTGTTTATTGTTTCAGTTATCCCATTGACATACAATCCTGCTTTCATGCTAAATGCATCATCTACCAATCATGTAACTATTGTGATTCATTTATAACGCCTTTTGAAAATTGAATTCACATGTCCATTAACTAAATATTTGCGGCAGGAACATAATCAGTTGTACATCATTTTCAAGGTAATCTGAAAGTGTGTGTGTGTGTGTTTGTCCGCAGACAAAGAGAGGGAAAGAAAAGAGTGTTAATTAGTAGTTTCCCTCTAGGATCTTCAGCCCGTGGGGTTGTATGGTGCGGAGGCGTTTGATCTAAAGCTGCTCCCTGTTGAAGTGAACAGCATCTTTACGGAATCCAAGGGATTCTATGCCCTGAAAAATCACATCAGACACAGAATGGTTAGGAAGGTTGAAGTGGTGGCCCACAGGGGTATCTAGTCGCTTGGTGTTGGCCGTAGATCTCTGTGGCCATAGAAACGCTTCTAGTCTCTCCGACATAATGAACACTACACACCCTGCAGGAGATAAGGATATGTAACATTGAGAAGAGCTACAAGTGATAGTGCCTTTGGTTCTGTGGTTGGTGACAGAGGATCTAGGAGTGTCTAGAGAATGTATCTGAATCCAGGACATGGTTGTGGCAAACAAGACACCTGTTAGATTCACACTTGAACGTGTCTTGCTGGTAGGGGGAAGGGTATCGGGGGGGGGGGGCACAGCTGGACCGTTGGACGAGTGAAGATACTGGTGGATACCTGTGGGCTTGGCATACAGGTCAGAAGTCCTGCACAAGGTTGTCTCCTTCCGGATGCTGACATCGAGAAAGTCTGCCTGATGGAGGAAATATTAAGTGAACTTAATTGTCCTGTAAAAAGAATTGATATGATTAATGAAGATGCAGACTGCATCATCAATGGAGCGCCACCAGATCCAAGGGAGGAATGGTGCTGAAGCAAGCATGCGCTCTTCAAGGGTACCCATGAAGAGGCAAGCAAAGGAGGAAGCCATGCAAAACCTAGCAGTTCTACAAGCAGTGGGGGATAGAAACTTATGAACTGTCTCAGAGGATAGTGGGTCACGCAAACGCATATCATCCAATACCTGCTGAATCTGTTGTGAGAATGTTCCTGTGATGGGGTCAGAATCAAGGGGGATATAGTTTGTTAACTTGTTGATGAGCTTCATCAATGCATTGCTGTCGGTCCAAAATTACTACTGCGAAACCTTTGTCTGCCGGCTTGATAATAATGTCAGTGTGGGAGCGCCGGGTGTTGAGTGCTGAACGTTCATCCTTGGAGAGATTATCATGAGGACTGTGGCGAAAATGATCAGGGTTATTCACAGCCTGTGCATAGGTCTCAAGGGCCGGTACACGATTCTTTTTTTGTGGGGGGGAGGGTATCCAGGTGCTTTTGACACGGAGGGGCTCCTGGTCGCACGGAGCATGGTCAAAGACAGTTATTCTCGAAGTCCTATCCTGCAGAGTTATTCAGTGAGATCTTGGCTGAGTTCTACCCGGTTTACTGTCGGGGTGTGGGACAAAAATCCAGACCCTTGGAGAGAAGTTTGTGTTAATTCAGCATCAATTTTAGGTGAAGAGGAAAGGTTGACCACAGTGTTGGAGATGGTGGAGGTAAGGGCTGGGGTTTAGAATGCCTGAAATGTCTATGCCTACGTTGTTGTTTGGCCAAAATGTCACCTATATCTTCTTGTTCCTCTTGTCGCGAAGAACAAACTCAAGATTAGTGAGGCCTCTTTCCAATTCGACACACACAGGTTCCTATACATAGTATCTGAAAGTTAAATCTAAGTTCAGAATCAAGATGGGCTATGTCCTGATGGAGGTTCTGGGGAGTCACTGCTGAGAAAGAATATTGATTAGTTGGATAGAGGCACCATAGAGAACTTCATTCTATCTTTTCTGTAAGTAAGGAGATAGGGTACCTGAGCACGGGGTGGATGAGAGTTGTAAACCTGTGGGAATAAGATGTGGCACACTATCCTGACGGCAGGTGTAGCGGAGGGCCTTCTGTTTTGTTTTACGGAATTGTTGAAAGAAACACATGGGGTCATTCATACCTGTAGAGAGGAAAAGAATAATATAATTAGGACATAAAAGAGAGAAGATGACAACGCTGCAATTAGGCTACCTGCAGGGAGGGAGGGAATAATGTCATTCGTCTGGTACATAAAACAAAGAAGACGCTGCAATAACCTGTAGAGAGGGGGAGAATATCATAAGTACAAAACAGATAAGATGAAAGATAACAGATAAGAAGACCAGAAAAAAAATTAAAAAAAAGTTGCGCGCTTGCAGAGATCCACCATCGATCATTGACGTCTTGGGTTAAGACTACTGTGACGTGTGCTGTAAATGCCTGCACACGTTATTTTCAAACCTCGTTTTCCATCCGGCTTGTGATCACCCTCCGCTGATCACCCTGCAGCTTCGAGATTATCTTGGAGAAGTGTTACTCCTTTTCTGCTACACTGGCATCAAATACTGCAGTCCTTTCACTTTTCTTGAACATAGCACATATCTGATTTGGTCCAGAGGCTGAGGGTGAACCAAACTCAGAGGGACGGATAGTATCGAGACAGGCGTAGCCACCGTTTCAAAAAGACATCCAGATAAACAAATAATGCTTGCTGATTAGGTTCTCTTTTACGGAAGCATATTGCTGCCAACGTGATGTTTCTTTATTTCGTTTAAACGAGTTACAAGTATTATCTTGTTTAAATAACTTACTGTCTCGTTCAAACGACTTAATATCTCGTTTAAACGAGAGAGCTATGTCATTTATAACAAGATTGCCAAAATAACAAGATAGCAATATCGCGTTTAACGAGATAATAAGTCTTTAAACGAGATAAAATATTTTTTCGCGTTGGCAGCAATACGCTTCCGTACTCTTGTTTCCCTTGACAATCAGAAGGTCGTTGTTGTTTTGTTTTAGTGGCGCGTTCACCTGTTCAGGGTATTTGTGACAATAACGTAACTATACGTTTATTCATTACCTTTATTAATCAGCATCACTTTACGGAGTTAGGAACCTGAAGGACCAAACATTTACTTTGGGGAGTAAATCGGGGAACATAATTAGTCAT